GACGGTGCAGCTGCCGCGGAAAACAGGATGGAGTTTCCTCGAAAAGTTGAAACAGAATTACTCGAGGGCCCAGCGGCCCCTCTTCTGAGAACTGAAAGCGGGTCTGAAGGGCTGTCTGCTCACCCACGTCCAGCATCGTGCACACAGACAAAAGGCGGAAGCAGCCCAAGTGCCCACTGGCAGGTGAATGGTGACAAAGCGTGGTCCCTCACGTCACAGACTATCACTCAGCCCCAGGAAGAAGGGCAGCCTGGCACCTGCAGCAGCGTGGACGCGCCTCGAGGACACTAAGCAGACACACAGGGCAAACACTGCCCCATGCACACGAGGGACCCAGGGGTCAGGCTCAGAGACAGAGAGCGGTGGTGCTGGGGCGACAGGGAGGAATGGGCGGGCATGTTTAAGGGGGGCAGGGTGTCTGTTTGGAAACACGGAAAGTTCTGGAGATGATGGTGGTGACGACTGTTCAACAGTGTGAATGTGCCTGAGGCCACTGACCTGGGCACTTGGAAACGGTTAGGGTGGTAAGTTTTATGTTATGCATATTTGACCACAATCAAACAAATGAAGACGGGTTTTTAACAAGGTCGTTAAGGTAAAATGAGGTCACTGGGGTGGCCCTGATCCAGACTGGGGTCCTTGTAAGAGAAAGAGATTAGGACACAGACTCGCAGGGCGACCCTGTGGGGACACAAGGAGACAGCCGTCGACAGGCCTTGGGAGGGGCCACCTGCCCACCCCTTCACCCTGGACGCCCTGCCCTGGGGCGGCAGAGATCGATGCCGGTAGTTCAAGCCCATCAGTGGTGCTTGCTACAGCCACCCTGGGAAATGAGTACAGGTTTAAGGAGAGATGTCACACGATCACCGCAGTCGATGGATCTGTGTAACCAAGCCCAGCGTCCATTCGTGACTCCTCATAATTAGCTCACAAGGAATAACACTGAAAGTGCTGTTTGCACAGCTCCCGGTCCGCCTGGCCCTGCTCCCATTCATCCAGGTTGGAGGGAGGACATGGGGCCCCAGGACCCACCTCACCCCACCCTCAGCTCCTCCCAACACCTGGGTCCCCAGCAAGCCCCTCCCAGGCCACCCTCGTGGGCTCAGACACCTTTGCACCTGTTAACCAGCAGTCCTGGCCAGCCAGACCCAAACACGGGGCACAATGCCGGGGTGCCCATCGTGAGCAGCACTGGGGACCCAGCCCCACGCCGAGGAGGGGCCTGTCACTCCACCCTCCACACTCCAGACCTCGCCCAGAGACCCAGGAGCAGGGCAAGGCCGGAGGGAAGACGAGGGCCTGAACCCTCAGCAGACGAGCCTGCCTGGACGGCGCTCACCAGCACATTCTACACGCTGTGTGTACATGTGGGCACAGCCACGCATGTGCACACACACCTGCACACACAGTACAGGTGTGCACAGTGGGTGGGCACACACGCACAAGTGTGCCTACATGTGGGCACATGTACACATGCACATTCATGTAAATGCATGCGTGTGTACATTGGTACATGTGTGGGCAGGTGTGCGCACAGGCATGCACCATGCATATGTGCACGCACATGCACACATACGTCGCTAGGTTACAAGTGGTAAAACACAGGCATCATCATCTGAATCAGCACAAGGAACCTAAGACTAACAAGGCTCTAAAGGGAAGCCGGGCGTTTGCCCCCAAGTGACTCCTTGGTCGGGGAGAAGCAGAGGGGCCCTGACAGGCGACGTTACAGCCACAGGAAGGAGAGGCTCACGTCCAGGGTCCCAGCAGCAAGAGTTCGCGGAGAATTCACAGCCTTAAGTGTTTTTATTACCCAGCCAGAGAGACTGAAAATAAATGAACTAAACATTCGACATAAGGGGGGAAAACAGCAGGAAAGTAAACCCAGGAGGCAGGAGGGGTGGAGACAAAGGCGAATTAATGAACTGGAAACGGAAAAGCGGGAGTGCCCGTCAGCAAACCGCAGAGCTGCTTCCTCGGAAGAGGGAAATGAAACAGGCAAACCCCGCGGCCAGGCGGCGGGGAGGGCGCCGCAAGGACCAGACGTGGACCGGGGTCGGGCAACACGCTGCATATGCCCAAGGAAATGGCGATTCCCTAAAGCAACATAAATTACCAAAATTAACGGACAGAGACTTTCCAGCCCTGCGGCTGTGGCTCAGTGGTGAGAACACCGGCCCGTGCACAGAGGGGTCTTGGGTCCGATTCCCAGTCAAGGGCACGTGCAAGTTTGATCCTGGCTGGGGCACGTGCGGGAGGCAACCCATCCATGTCTCCCTCCCTCCCTCCTTCCCTCCCGCTCTCTGAAAAGCAATGGGAAAAGCATCCTCAGGTGAGGATTCACGAGAAAGGAGCCTTCCACAAGCTACGCCCACACTGCAGGATAGAGAAACAGACAGGGGTCAGGTGTGGGACTCGGCCATCCTACAGGACACCAGGGCAGAGGCCAGCAATGGGGGGTTATACCTGCTCAGGAGCGGGGCCCAGGTCAGGGGTCAGGGAGAGGGAGTGAGGGGTCAGTGCCTACAGGCTGGTGGCCCTGCAAGGGGACAGAGCCTTCTCCCAGCTGTCTGAGGGCCTAGGGCCGGGGTGGAGGCTGGAGGACCTGGACCCCGCTTGCCCATGACCCTTCTTCGAGCAAAAGGGATCCCGGTGTGGGGCAGGTGGAGAGGCAGGGCACACAGGTGGGAAGGGCTCACGTTTTGGGGCCACTGCCCGGCCAGGCCCTGCTGAAGTCCGTCCCTGCCCCCCTCCCCAGTCCCCCCTGCACCTGCAGGGAAAGGAGAGCAGAGGCCAGCCGGGGCGGGACCTCTCCACACCTCGGCCACAGTGGTCAGCGGACGGCCATCACAGCCTCCCTGTCCGTCTGGTTGATACTTTGGGGCACTTGCCTGTGACGCCGTTTGCAGGGTGTTATGCCCCCGTTTCATCGCAGTTCACGGTTAGAACACCATCCCCGGGGTCTCACTTCTTGAGTGAGCTGTGGGGGTGTTTTCCCGGGAACGCGGCCGTTTCCTCCAGGTTGTCCGATGCTCTCGGTTACCTCCGTGACCTCTGCTGCACCTCAGGTGTTGCCTCCTCAATCCGGGGCTATTTGCTTAATCTCTCTGTCAAGACCCCCGTCCGTGGTGCCGCCAGTCGAGGGACAGACTCTGAGTCTGTCCTCAGCACCATTTTCGCTCGTTGCCTTCTCCTGTCCCACCTTTTTTCTTTGGCTTGTCTTTCTTCCCCTCATTCGGGGCTCAGCAAGTGGCCGAGTGGGCACAGCGAGAGCGGCTGAGTGGTGTCCAGGTGTCCGGGGGTTGAGATGAGAACTCTGAGAGACCCCCCGTGGCCCTCAAAATCCTGAGTATTCTACCTGCCCTCTCAGGAAAAGGCCCACTGCCCGCTGTCTGATCTCCTAAGTTGGATGCTTGGCTCGTCTGTCTTTTCACTTTTGTTTCCTAACCCAATCGGCTGGGGTTATAAATTCCTTCCATCGAGAGCTTCAGACAGGCCGAGTTTTAACACGCGCCCTTTCCACGGTCATTCACGTCTGAGTTCTTCCGCATGTGTTGCTTCTCCTTTGGCCCGAGCTGCACAGCGAGCATTTCTAACCTCCTGAACACTTGAGGCTTTGCTGCCCTTTTGTTACTGGGTTGTGCTGGGAACATGTGATCCAGTGACTGATGCAATGTCCACAGGCTCACTGACCTCTTCGTTCAGACGCCTCTGCGTGCACCTGGAATCACTGCGACTCCCGCAGACGGCCAGCCGCCGAGCCCGCCGACAGGCAAGCGAATCTTCCGTACCTCTTGTGTTTTTCTCGGTCGACCTGACCCATTAACTATTAAAAGGATTATCGAAAATCTCCAACCAGATGATCGAGGTGTGAATTTGCTGTCCTGCAGGCCATTAGTGGGCCGTGCCCTGCAGACCCCACAGCAGAAGGGTCCCCCCACCCCCAGAGCCCAGTGTGAGTGGCCAGGTGGTGACCACCAACTACACAGGTACCTGCATGGAGCCCATCTCCCCAAAATTAATCCGAAACATGACTTCTCAGTGCAAAGTCTGGCAGTAGTGCTCCAGGGCAGGTCCCAGGACGCAACCCCCCCACCTGCCTGCAGGCCCCTCCGCCTCGTGTAGTCAGGTGGTGCCTCTGGGGGAGCAGGTGACATGTTCAGGTGTTAGCATGGCCCCAAAGGTCCCTTTTCAGAAGCTGCCAAAGGCTCCTTTGTATTTCAGGTGCCCTGTTGGCTCCTGTCCCACCCAAGACCAGAAATCAGACGCTCAAGACGTGACAACATCACAAGGTCACGACAACGGGCCTGCTGAGGACAAAAGGCAGCTCCTCTGCCCCTTTCAGTGAAGCCCGCTGTCCAGGCAACTCCTGGGTGGGCCCAGGCAGCAGTGATTTCTTAAACTCCCCAGTGGCTGAGAGCATCCAGGACAAAGGCACAAGGCTCCCTCTGCACCCAGGAGGCCCTGACCTCCCACTGCCCGGGGCTCCCGGGAGTCGCAAGGCTCTGCACCGCACAGCTCTACAAACACCCGGCTCAGGAAGGAGGGAAACACTGACCATCAATCAGAGGAGAAACCACGTGGCCACTTCAGTGCTGCAAGTAAACCTGCCAGACCAGGTGCTGCTGAGGTTTACCCTGTTGCACAGGCATGGCCTCCAGTGGACAGGTCAGCGGTGCAGGGGCCCAAGGAGCCCCAAGGGGGCAGGGGCTTGGCCTCAGGAAGGCATCTGAAAGCCACTTCCCACCTTCACCCATCTCTGATCAACAGTCCTAACCAGTTAGAACATGGCTGCCATGAGAAGTGACCAAAGATCATGAACCTTTCCTTTCACTGTGACAAACTCCTTCCTCTTACCCAGAGTTCCTAGGTCAAGGTCTTTAGTAGAAACCCGATTTTATTAAGTCAGGAATAAACGGGACAGCCCCCCACACCAGGAACAGGGGCTGAGGCCGCCCCCGCCCCTGTACCCCTGAAAGTGAAAACCAACCCGCAGAGGCTCGCGTGCAGAGCAAATGTCTTTTATTGAAGTCAGAGACCAGGTGCTACCAAGACTACGTCCTCATGGCCCAGCCAGAACCTCCAGGCCACAGAGCACAGCCCTCACCCCCCTCGCTCCAAACAGCGGGTGGGGACATGGTGGTGGGCTGTAGACTCAGCACACACAATGACAAAGCCTGGGCCTCCGGTGCCCCAGGTTTCGTAGCTGAACGACGCACAGCGCCTTTCACCATGGGTGTTTACGGAGGAACCAGTGCCCTGGGGTCTGTACGCAGACTCCAGGGAACAAAATGCCCTCTGAAAATGCATTTCAAAATAGAGACCCTCTCTCCAGAACTGTAAAAGCCATAAAAATGCAAAATACTCCTTCAGAAAAGACTGAGTCAAAATTACACTTAACGTTCAAAATACCACGGAACCTGCTTTGTCTCTATCCCGAGAACAGACAGGCGGCGACAGTCCCGCCCCTAGACCTCCCCTCTGACCCATCAGTTGTTCTCGATCTGTTCCAGGTCCAGCTCGCCCTGGTCCAGTGGGAAGAGGCCCTCCTCCCCAGCGCTGTCCCAGTCACTCGGGTCCCCACCGCTCCCGTCCTCACCGGCCACCGGCTCCTGAGAGGCCCACAGGCTGGGGCTGGCGGGATGGGGCCTGGGGCATGAGCTCAGGGGGCTGGAGGCTGGGGTGACGAGGCCCGTGAGGCTGTGTTGGTCACGGGGGGAGGACACGGCCGTCTTCGCTCTGGTGTCATCGCCATCCTCACCTTCACAATCGAGGGAGCCAAGGCTTTTTGAGTTTTTTAATGTCTGCAACAGAAAAGACACATGCTTAGGACATTTCTGGGAAGGCCCATTGCAGGGGAATCCTGCTGACCCGGAGAGAGCTCCCCAAGCCATATGAAAAGTCCTTGGTCCCCTGGACCTCAGACACACACCCGCCCTCGTGGAAGATGTCTCGAGCCCAGAAGGTCCGCGTCCCTGGCCTTTACCAGGTGGCTGAGAAGGCCTGCGTCCACCTCAGCTCTGCTGGGAGGGGGCCTAGGGGAGACCTTGTCCTGGCCCCACCCGGAGCAACGCACCAGGACTGGGAGCCTGACCACAGTGACAGCAGAGACGCCTGGGACGCGAGGGCAGCTGTGTCCAAGGCCCCTCCTGCTCAGGAGCCTGACCAGTCTCCACCACCCGCCTGTGTCGGGGGCCCTGCCTCCCCCAGCTTCCCCCTCCCCTCCTCAGCCCTACTCCCCCAACGGTTCCTTCTCTTCAAATGTGAACATGCTTAAGTTCTTTTCATCTTAAAATACTTGAGACGCACACTACACACAGGGGCTGCCTCTCTGGCTGGGGACCAACTCTCCAGATGAGCTGCTGCAGCCCCTCCACTCCCACAGCCAATCCCCCCGGAGGTTAACGAGGGGGCTCCCTGAGCTCAACCCTGATCCCCAGACAATCGTTCTCCAGACCAGAGCTCTCCCTCAGCCACAGGCAGAGCCCCAGCTCTTGAGTGTCACCCTCCCTGGCTGTCCCATGGGGGCTGAGACTCAGCAGACCTCCCTATCCCACCTTTGGGGGCCCTGATCCCAGGCCGTGCAGCAGGAGCAGCTCCCTTGACACAACCAGGACCCTATTTCCCCCANTATCCCACCTTTGGGGGCCCTGATCCCAGGCCGTGCAGCAGGAGCAGCTCCCTTGACACAACCAGGACCCCATTTCCCCCGACACCACCCCCAGCCCTCACCCCAAACTCCTGGTGCTCAATCAGCATGCCGTCCACCATGAGCTGGCCACGGTATGCTGGCCCCCACATGCCCACACCTCTGCTGGTCTCACCTGGCTCCACCATTCAGGTGTCACCTCGGGACTCCTCCCCTGGACCACACCCACGCTGCCCCAGCCACGTCACCAGGTGTGGTGATGCACGTGTTCACGCTGACCACGGGGACACAGCGCCCCAACACCCGGGCTCTAGTTTAGTATCAGCACACCAGCCACAGACAAGCTAACTGACTATACACCCAGAAGTCCCCCCAAACCCCAACCACTCCAGGCACAAAATGTGTCATAACAGAACCTCAATCTCTGCGGCTAGAAAGCTCCCTGGAAACAGCCCAGGGCACTGCAGTCCTGAGCACCACCCCAGGTCCCCTTTGGATGCGAGCTCCTCTCTGAAAGAACTTCCAAGGCCGCACCCAGTCTCTGGCCTTTTACTGTAAGGAGTCCCTGTTAGGGAAGTGACTTTCTAAAGGCTGCAGCTTTGAAGATCCTGGTGGTCACACAGCTTTGTCACAAATTGAGGATTCAGGAGATAACTTCTTTATCCAAATCCAGGTGGATCTACATGGCTGGCTTAAGGACAGGGCTCAGGCAGAGCACACAGCCCCTCAGTGGCGCCCATTCCTGCACTGGTTCCGGCCACTGCCCTGGCCATGCACTCCCCAGCTTCAAGTCAAGGCACAAAACAGCCCCCAGATGTCGGGGGCAGGGGCCAGGTCACTGGGGGGAAGCACGTGGACATGGCTGCCCCTGCACACGGAAAGCCACACTGACACTCCAGTCACCTGCCCACGGCACCGAGGGTGGCTCCTCACTGAGGCTGGACAGACGCACCATCCAGGTCACAGAACCGTCAGCCCTGTCACGGCTGTTCCCCCATCATGCTGTGCAAATGGCGCTCTAAAAAGCCTCAGTAAGAGTGAAAACCACAATAAAGGGGCGCTCAGCCTCCAGTCACAAACCTGTCCACACACACTGCCACCTTCCCACAACGAGCAGCATGTCCCAAAGGGGGTGCCATGTCCCCGGGGTACACATTCAGACAGCTGGCAATGGCCAGGCCCTGAGGCCCCAGCTCCCACAGAGCCCAGTGATGGGCCACAGCAACGTGCCAGTAACAGAAGGAACGCATTTTTAAAAGACATGCAGACTTTGATGACCTGGTTTTGTCTCAGTCCTGTTCACATGCCTTCCTGTCCCTCATTGCTGGTTAATTTACAGTCTGGACCCCAGAATCGCTTCCAGGTCTGCATCTTCCTCCAGCCCAGCTGCCCAAGTCCTGGCCTCACCATCTCCTCTGTGCACAGTGGCCTCAAAGTCAGATGTGACCATGGTCTATAGACCACAGGGCACCATCACTCACTCCAGGGCAGGTGTTCCTCAAAGGAGGGCAAGGAGTAGAGAACCAACGGGACAGGCAGGGCCAGGATCCTGACACTTCCACCCACTCACATAGCAGATGGATACACACCCCCAGTAGATAACAAACACACACACCCCAGACAGATACACACACCCCAGACAGACAACACATGCAAACACATACATACACATACAACCCAGACAAACAACACACACGTGCCCGGGATGACGGTAGCCTGCCCCTCAGGCCTCCTCCCCACCCTGAGGCCTGCTTGTCCTTGTCGAGGCATCTCCATGTGTGCACACTTCATGCTCTGCCAGGAGCACCCCTGCTTCCAGGCGGAGCCCCGACATCAGCCCCAACATGGCTGCCCCAACATGCCAGGTCACACCCAGGCCTTCACCAGGGGTCGCGCATCTCCCCAGTGCAATGCCTTTGGCTGCCCCCCTGCAGACACCTGTCACGTCCCAACAGCACTGACCCCGCAGGCGCGCAGCACTGGAGGCGGGTACACGCCTAGAGCTCGCGGCCAGCTCTCCCAGTTTCCTGACAGCTGCCCTCAGCCAGCGGGAACCAGGAAATGCCAGCATGTCCCTTCTCCCTGCATAGGCTCCCCGCTGGCTGTGGGAGCCCAGCCCCTGGGAAGAATCTTCAGAAAACCCACTGTCCAGGGAACGCACAATGGCAGAAACACCAGGAGCGGCCACACTGCCCTAGAAGACCTGGTTCCACCTGTGTTCTGAGGGAGACCCTGGCACCACCCCACTGCCCTCTGTCCCCATCGTGCTCTCCCATGCAAGGTCCTGAGACAAGGACACTGTCACAAGGAGACTGTCCTGTNAAGGAACGCATTTTTAAAAGACATGCAGACTTTGATGACCTGGTTTTGTCTCAGTCCTGTTCACATGCCTTCCTGTCCCTCATTGCTGGTTAATTTACAGTCTGGACCCCAGAATCGCTTCCAGGTCTGCATCTTCCTCCAGCCCAGCTGCCCAAGTCCTGGCCTCACCATCTCCTCTGTGCACAGTGGCCTCAAAGTCAGATGTGACCATGGTCTATAGACCACAGGGCACCATCACTCACTCCAGGGCAGGTGTTCCTCAAAGGAGGGCAAGGAGTAGAGAACCAACGGGACAGGCAGGGCCAGGATCCTGACACTTCCACCCACTCACATAGCAGATGGATGCACACCCCCAGTAGATAACAAACACACACACCCCAGACAGATACACACACCCCAGACAGACAACACATGCAAACACATACATACACATACAACCCAGACAAACAACACACACGTGCCCGGGATGACGGTAGCCTGCCCCTCAGGCCTCCTCCCCACCCTGAGGCCTGCTTGTCCTTGTCGAGGCATCTCCATGTGTGCACACTTCATGCTCTGCCAGGAGCACCCCTGCTTCCAGGCGGAGCCCCGACATCAGCCCCAACATGGCTGCCCCAACATGCCAGGTCACACCCAGGCCTTCACCAGGGGTCGCGCATCTCCCCAGTGCAATGCCTTTGGCTGCCCCCCTGCAGACACCTGTCACGTCCCAACAGCACTGACCCCGCAGGCGCGCAGCACTGGAGGCGGGTACACGCCTAGAGCTCGCGGCCAGCTCTCCCAGTTTCCTGACAGCTGCCCTCAGCCAGCGGGAACCAGGAAATGCCAGCATGTCCCTTCTCCCTGCATAGGCTCCCCGCTGGCTGTGGGAGCCCAGCCCCTGGGAAGAATCTTCAGAAAACCCACTGTCCAGGGAACGCACAATGGCAGAAACACCAGGAGCGGCCACACTGCCCTAGAAGACCTGGTTCCACCTGTGTTCTGAGGGAGACCCTGGCACCACCCCACTGCCCTCTGTCCCCGTCGTGCTCTCCCATGCAAGGTCCTGAGACAAGGAGACTGTCACAAGGAGACTGTCCTGCCCTGTTCCACTCCAGCCCCAATGGCCGAGATTGACAGACCCTCTGGGACATGCAGGCCAGGCTCCGGTCTGTCCTGCCTGGCACTGCCTTGAGCCTCGGCCGTGCGCAGAGCAAGGCGGGAGGGCAGGCATGCGGGCCCAGAACACAGAATCTTCTAGCTGGTCCACAACACAACACTCCAACACAACTCCCCCAAAGAGGTGCCAGCAGGGTACACGTGGGGAAGCCTGGGATCACAGTGGAGCCAGCTGTGCGGCCTCGGACCCTGGGACAGCTCCTCAACTCCAACTCTCTCACCCGTTTCTGGAAGAGAGGTGGGCAGGCAGTATGGCCACAGAGCTGCTGCTGGGACCTCCGGCTCTGACCCGCCACAGACACAGCGCATCCCCAATTCAGCCACCTCCCCCAGGAGCACAGAGGACACAGCTCCACACCATCGCAGCTGCATGCAAGTCAACCTCTCCCAGATTCCACAGTGAAGGGGGGACGCCAGCAGCGTGGCCCCCGGACACAGGAGGAAGCCTCACCCGTGTCATCTTCAGAAAGTCCAAGGATGGGCGTGGCCACCGACTGTCCTCCTCCCGGGGGCGTTTCAGCCGGCTCTTCCTCCCAACAAGCACGCAGGGCTGAGAGCGGCTCCGGAGCAGGCCCAGCCGCCAGCCCAGCTCGGGTGTGGACGATGGGGTATCTGTGTCCACCAGGTGCTCCTGTGATAGGGACAGGCGGCGCCGAGAGGACAGCACGCAGGGCCCAGAAGGACACCAGGGTAGGCCTGGGCCACCCCCGCTGTCCACAAAGCCGCTGCTGGCAGAGGCCGGCCGGGGAGCCAGTGGCGAGCTGGGACCAGCCGTGGGAAAGGCGCTCCCTGGCAGGCTGGCGCTCCCACCGCTGTGGCACCGCCTCTTGGAGACAGCAGTCCAGACCTTGGATCCTCCAGGGCGCCATGGGGACCGGCATCGGGCGAGCTCATTGGGCTCCGACAGGGAGCGGCAGTGTCGTTTGCTGGGTGGGGCCAAGGGTGGCCCCGAGCTCTCCCTGAGGTCCACTGCACTGACCGCACCCAGGCCCGCACTCACACCACAGGGTCCCAGCGGGAAGGGGAGAGCAGGGCCTGAGGCCACCTGGCTTCTGATGGGCCATCCTCCACTCAAGGCCTTCCAGGGGTGCCTGTCTCCTGAGGAAAGAGGAAGGAGAGAGACAAGTGAGCAGGAGGCACCTGCCAGCCTCAGGGGGAGGCCACGCTGCCAACTGACATGAAGCTGGGGCCTCATGGGCACTGAGGGGCCTGCATGCCGGGCAGTGGAGCCCCACAGCAGGTGTATACTGTGTCAGCCCCACCTGCCTTCCCTGGCAGATTGGCCCTGGCACCACCCTCTCTCCTCCCAGGGCACAGAGCAGGTGCCATGGGCCTTGCCAGAGCCCAAGTGGGCTGTGAGCAACGACGGTCCCCACACACAGGAGGGACTCCAGGTGAGAACAGGATGACCAGAGCCAGGTGCTGGCCACAGCTCCTACTTCCATCCCATCATCTTCATCTTAGTTTGCAATACCGCCTAGCACAGTAGCAGCCCTACAGCTGCAGTGACCAGAGGGGAATGGGACTCAGCCCAGGTCTGTCCCACCTAAAAGTCACACAACTAACACTCCACTGTGACCGCTGACCCCAACCAAGGCTTACCAGGAGCACACGGCCAACAGGCTCCTCATTCACACTCAGCCTCACACTCACATGTACTCTTGCGCACACTTATCCACTCGTTCAAACTCACGTGCACACACTCCCCACATGCACACATGCTCACATCTCACACACTCACACCTGGGGTAGCTAAGCCACCTGCCCCCATTCCCACCACAGGGCACATGTGTGGGGTACTGCCCTGGAGGACAGAGGGTCCGGCAGAGCCACACACTCTGGGGCATGGCCATCCCTCCCTCCCCCACCACACACACACACACACACACACACACACACGCACGCACACTGCTGGCCCAGCATGCACCAACCAACCACACCAGAGCTGCAGGGCAGGCACCACTGTCCTGTCCTGTCCTGTCCTGTCCTTCCTCTAGTGGCCACAGGACCCAAGGGGGTAGCCCCCACCCACATCTGCCAGGAGGGAGAGACCAGCTCCTGCTGACCGTCCACCTCACAAGGTAAGACGGGCAGTTCGCTTCAGGCCCTTCCATCTCAGCTGCCCACCCAGAAGCAGCCGGGTTCACAGCCCTGGCGACAGAGGCTTCTGAAGCCCTGAAGACCTCCGGACCTTTACACACTTACCATTGGTCTCAAAAGGGAACAAGTGGCCACTTTTGTTGTTCAGTGTCTCGGCAGGATGCTGAAAGTGACAAGAGAGGGTCACAGGAGACTTTAGAGACAGCACCAACTCGAGAGGTAGTCCTGCCTTTACTCTGCTTTCTACAGTTTCCCCACACTGACTTTTGGTAACTAAAGAGAAAAGCATGAACTCCTAGATTACTTTATAATTTTCCCCCTTTTTAAATTTTACTTTTCAATTACACTTTACATTCAATATTATTCTGTATTAGTTTCAGGTGCACAGCATAGTAGTTAGACAATCACATACTTTCCAAAGGCCCCCCCAATATTTCCAGTACCCCCTGGCGCCCCACGTAGTTATTACACTATTATCAACTGCACCCCTGTGCTGTCCTTTACACCCCACAACCATTCTGTAATTGCTCCTGTTCTTCTTAACCCCTTCCCCTTTTCACCCAGCCCCCCTTATTCTTAATCAAGGTTCTTAAAAACCCCACAACCTTCAGCGGAGCGAAGGGAACAAGGAGTCACGAGCATGTCCCCTCCTGTTCCTGAGCTGGGTGCCCCAGTTCCTCTTCAGCAGCCCCCTCCCACTGCCACATCGCCACACAGGCCCCGCCCCCAAGCCAGGCCCCCCAGGGTGTCCTTGGCGGGGAGGTGTAGATACAGGCCCAACTCGTCCTGCACTGAGACACCTCAGCCGGGC